ATTTTGGAAAGATTCTACTTCACTGGAGAGGGATTGTCGGGCACTCTCGACATCTTCTGAGGCGGGAGAATCTGTGCCTGGGCTGATTGTTTCGCCGCTTTCATTCGACTCGGAATGTTTGCTGCTGTTGTTGCGCTTAAGTAGCCGGCGGCACTGTCTCCGCAGTTTCTCATATTCCTTTCTGGAGACGTTAGCAAAATAGTTAACGAGTAATTTGTCGTGGGTTTCATATTATATGTGGGTTGCTTCACAGAAACGAAATAATATTAAATAAAAAAAAAATGAGAAGGACATCCGGTTCTAGTGTAAGAACGTTTTGTGTGTGCACGTGCATGTGTTGGGAAAAAGAATGTGTCAATTTTGTGGCCCCACCTATTCTTGGTTCTTGTGAGATCTCTTTCTTCTTTGCTACTTGTCAGGTCATATCTGCAAAAGGAAGTAAGGCTATTGTTATGCAGAAACCAAAAAAAAAAACCTTCCACCAGAGAATCTCTTGTAATATGATTCAAGGATATGGCTGAACAACAGAATGGCAAGTTATAGTCGAATTTATAGATGCCAGCTGATCCATAGTACAAAAAGGGTGTCTTGGATACATCTCTGGTGTGTGAGTTTTGACTTCAGTAAGAAGATATGGTAAACTATCTAGCACTTACGAACAAATAAATGAAACAGAGAAATCATTACATGCAAGGGATCAGCCAAAGAACATATAGACATTTGAGAGGTGGTTTGCGTTAAACCAATCCGAGACTACAGATTGAACAACATGTGAAAAATGAGAATGGGCTTTGGCACAGGCAAACATGGAATCATAGGATGAACAAAAATGTACAAGAGGCATGGACAGGTGGAAGCATGGTTAAAGTTAAACCAACCCTTTCCCTTCAGTCAATAAGAAATATTCTCTTCATCTACCTACGTTTTCTTTACTTTCTTAATGGGTCTTTTCGCTTTATCTATGTTATAAGAACTTCAGAAAGGCTGCATGAGAAACTGAAGCTTTTTAATATTTATGAATATTCTAAAGCAAACTCAATTTAAAATATTAAGGAACAGCATGATTGTATTATATTCATATTCATAGTTCTAAAGGTGAATTAACTTACACTCCAAGAAGAAACGGCCAGACCTCTGCTCGAATACTAGGATCAACACCCTACACAAATAATTTAAAATCCTTTCAAAGAACTATTCCATGCACAACTATGCTTTAAAATTTGTAAAAGCTCGAGCATAGCCCGTGAAGAAAAAAATTGAAGGAATATGGAATCACAAACTCACTCCACTGCGAACTTTTTTCAGAAATTTAACTCCATTGTCACGGAGTTTCCCTTCGGGAGTGAAGGAATTTCTCCACTGATCAGGTGAGAGTATGTGTTTTCTTTTCCTTCGAAACCATGGGGATTTAAGACGGCCACTGAAAAACAAAGAATAACACTTATTAATCATAGGATAAATAATAGGGCCAGCATACAAAATAAAATCAGTCACACTAATCAAAAAGGATTTTATCTACATCTAAGGGTGATTTCTAAGGTGAAAATTTGATGCAATAATCACAGAACCTAACTTTGCTCCCTTCTTGTTTCATGGAGACTTTCTCATGAATAGTGGGATAGGACAGAAACAACCTCACAATCAAGTTTCATCACTAGCAAGTATGAGCTCTTAACATTTTAGGGCAGATAATATTTTCTTCTAAAACCCTACTAGAGCAGCTAAAAGATGACTGGCATAGAAAAATAGCAACTGTTGCAAAAGAAATGCATAACCTAAACATCATATTGCCATACTATTGACCATGAGCATGGCAACACTTTAGAAACCCTGAGGTAACACAATATATGCAAATTTGTTAAGATTAAGTTGAATTCTAACAGTATAACATAAAAAGCTTCAATTTTTGGTAAAGAGCAAGCCACTGTGAACGTATATGCAGACATTGCTATAAAAAAGGCAATCTTTCCTATTAGGCTACAAATAATTTAATCACCACGGATATGTGAATCAATGGTTCTATGCTACATTCCATTCTTATGCTTCAATCGAAAACACTGAACAATAACACTACAGAAGACTTGTGCCCCACCATTTTGTTCAAATAAATAGCAAAGTGTAACTATATTAATTGCACTACCTATCTAAGAAGTCATTTGATTCATAAGATATAGAACTCAAGAACACTATGAAAGTAACACAATGCACTTTAAGTCCTTAATTCCTCAAAAGACAAAACAACAACAACAACAACAACAACCACCACACAGGCATAGGCTTTCACATTTACCAAACACTAAAGTATACAACAGATGAATCATTCAAGATCTTCAGCATATCTTTGACCAACAAAATAGATAAACATCAACTTTTTTATTCAATTAACAACTAAACTGACTGAAGACTAAGACCATAACATAAAAAATTTAACAAATAACAAGGCAAAAAGAAGGGCAGCAATGGCTATCCGGCTGGGCAGAAGAGCAGTGAAAGATAAATTGATAGACAAAAGTAACAAAATCTTTGGAAGTAGAAACTCGAGATCTGAACTGAAAGCACCTAAACTGAACACAACTTATGGGATAAGAAGATTTTAACTATGAAGGGAGCAAATTCAAAGAGATAAAAAAGAGTGGGGAAGAAGAGACTCACCGGCTACTAGAAGAAGAAAAATCTGGTGAGTTGTTGGAGGAGGCTACAATGAACAGAACCGATCTCAAATGGATCCACGAAGAAGAAGGTGGGGACGACGACGACGGCGTATTTGAGGAAGACGACGGTGGCGAGGATTTTGACGATGACGAAGTCTGACTTCGTTTTAGAGCTTTCATCTATGGAACTACCTTTTTTTCCCCTTTTTTATACTAAAATAAATTACTTTCTAGGTTATACAAATCACAGCAACTGAATCACACAATTTTCTGGATGTAATCAGCCGGCGGCCGCCTCTATATTTTTTTTTTTTTATATAGTTTT